AATTCTTGAAATTTCTCTAGGCATATTGGGACTATTTTTATGCGTGTTTATCCACAATAAAATTGTATCTTTATTATATTATTATTTGCTGTGGTATTTAATTGTGTATTATAGTATCATCATTCTTCTTAAAAAATTTCTTTGGTCTTCTTATATTCAAATCGTTTCTTCAAGTGAGAAAAATATTCCTGTTGCTTTACATGTCAAAAAAAAAAAAAAAAAAAAGAAAAAAATCAAAGGCGAAGAAAATTCCTTATGAATGAAGCGCAGAGAAGAAGAAAGACAAGATTGTACATAAAAAATAATATGTCTATAGCCACATCTTGTGTCTTAATGACAAACAAATTATTCTATTTTCTTCATTTGCATATTCACTTTCGACGATTTCAAATTCGCGAAATATTTTCACTTTATCGTAATCTCGGCAGCGTTCCTCGCAATTTTGTCGAAGCTACGAATAAAAGTCACAACCAGACAAACCAATTAACACGTTCATCTCGAAACATTCTTCGAAACATTTTTTTCTTATTTCTTTTTTCTTTTTATCTTCTTAAGGACCACAACTTTTTATTCATCTTCGCTGCTAGGACTGGATCTTATCTGCACAACATGGGAAAGAGAGAACGTACTGAGAAATCATAATGAGAAGAAAAATGAAGATAAACAGCGAAGCTTAATTAACAAAATAATACTCAATGATTTCTGTTTCCAACATTTATAGGACCTCTTTTCCTGATTAATTTAATTTAATTTAATCCGGTATATGTGTGACATATGTGAATGTACGTATGAATAAGGAGGAAGAAAATACTATAGAGAATTTTGCAGATAATAATAGTAAGTTTGAATAAGACAGAGATTAACGAACGCAGCTTAATTGAACGAACCTTATTTTCTAAGAATAAAGAAGCGAAACGATAAGATGGGAATAGCTACCGTAAAACATTAAACACACGTGTGGTTATTATTTCCTATCGATGATCGTTGCCTTCGGTTATCCTTGATCCCTCTTCAAAAGAGAAATCGCGGTTGACTCGCAGAAAGAAGTCCACAATTGCAGGTTCTATGCAAAATTTCGCAAAATTTCTCGATGACCACTGCCATTTTCTGTGTCCTTGATGCACCTGTAACATGGAGAATTGTTGTCGAAATTATTGCAAACATACTTATTCCCCTTACCTATTGGACATTTTTCTTTCTTATCTCTTTTTTTTTTTTTTTTTTT